GTGTAGTTGCCAGTTTGGCCCTTTCCCAAGTTCTCTGTTGATAATCAACTAAAAATGTGGGTATATAAAGCAGTTTTCTTTCCTCATATCAAATAGCACACTATAATTCGAAAGGTTTCGTGCAAGATAAACATGCCATCAGATATCATATAGATAAGCTCACTTCTTTTTGTTTCGAAAGATGAAAATTTGACAATGAAAGATCAATTAATAAGAACACATTTCTTCACTAATCTTTACTACTCAGTTTCAGTACGAGATCAACTTAACATATAGCGCCCCAAAACTATGCTGTCGCATCCAACCATATCACACGTTGATCCTTCCGAGAGACATTAATTCAAATCAAATTCAAAATAATTTCACACAAGCTCGGTTCGGCTCGAAACAGAACTTAAAAAAATGTTAGTTACATAATTTCAGATATGTTATACAATTAAAGATAACCAAAAAAAAAAAACTATAAAAAAGAGGCCTAGATGGGCAGTTTAATGAGCTTCTGCAACAAAACAAATGACTAATCACTTAATGAATCCGAATATATAAAACCCATACCAGATCTCGTATCAAATCACTGAATAACACAAGTTAGGAGATGCAAACACTTCAGAAGAAGGAATGAAATGAAAAGGAGACTAAAGGGTACCTGGATCATGGGTTTGCCAAGGATATTAACAAGTGGCTTGCCTTCAAACCGAGAAGAAGCATAGCGGGCGGGTATGATACCAACAACCTGGCTTCTAAACTTTCTGTACCGAAACAGATAAGCACCAGCGCCAATGGCCGCAGCAATTGCACCCCCGACTACAATGCCGTGCACGATCCATGATCTGGTCGATGAAGACCCAGAAGAACAGGAGGAGCATAATGTCATGTTTGGTTGTCGTGAGTGTGGTCCTCAGGCTTCACTGGCACTTGTACTTTACTAGGCACTTGTAAATCTACGAGTGACTGATTACTGATCAGCCATTAGGAGTGACAACAGTGACATTTCCGGAGGAGGAAAATACCCTCTCTTTTTTAACTTTTTTCAGACGATTAAATCAGGGGAATCCTTTATTAAAAATCGGAAGTGTCCGCCCCTCTGCTGAAATTAATCTTTAAACATTTTGGGGATATGAGTAGCTATCGAAAATTTTTATTTTTGGTAATAGGAAAAAAATTCAGTTATCTGGATTATATGTTTTTAATTCATAATTTTTTATAATTAATGAGGTTGTAATGGTTTTTAGGTTAAATTATTTTTTTTAGATTAACGTGGGTGTCCTGGCCAGCTTGCGCGCACCACGACTAATTCCATGGGCCCTAAAATTAACGACCATGTAAACCTCCAGTGGTCATCATATGAGCAATCAAAGACTCGAACTTAAGACCACACATGAAGCAAACCTCTTAGTCCCAAGTCTTTACCACTTAACTACCACCTAAATGGTTATTTACCCGTGTGTTGAAACGATGAATATTTTAAGTGTATTACATGATTTTTCTAGAATTAAATTTTGGTCTAACTGGATTTTAAAATAAATCAGCCGAGGATTGATTGAATACAATTTATAATTTCTAATATAGTAAAAATCTGACTTGAATTTATTTTAAGTATAATTAAAAAAAATGACATTGATTTAATATTTTTTTATAAACAAAATACTGAAAGATAATATTTTGAATTCAAATATATTAAACTAAGTTAACTTGGTATATTCATAGCTAGGTAATGAGTCTGATTATATTTAATAATTTTATTTAATTATATAATAATAAAAATAAATATTTATATGAAAAACAATAAATAAATTTATAGAGAAACATATATTTTATTTCATCAAAATAACTTTATTTTTTATTCTAGTAATATTTTTTATTTTAATAATAAAATGTTTTTTTTAATTAGTATCACAGCTCGTTGAATAAAAATCAATAACAATACAAAACAAAACAAAATTGGGAAAACTATAGCAATTTAAAATAAAAAAGAAAAAAAGTGTTATTCTTACCAAAACATAATTTTCTCATTAATGCATTTCATTGTTTATTTTAAAAGTCATGTTTATTTACAAGAAATATTTTTTTTATTATGATCATGAAAATAAGTATTAATAAAAAAAATTTAAAAATTGTAAATCAATAATCTTTTCAAAACTATATGAAAAAATACGAGAACAATAAATTTTTAAAAATTATATAATAATATTTACAATAAAAAATTAATAAAATATCAATTTTATTTTCATTCAAGCAAATTATTTTCAAAATTCTATATGGGAGGCTCACATATAATTATCTATAAAATAATCACTAATATTATCATAAAAAAACCCATAATATTCTTAAAAACAGATGCATATTTCTTAATTAGCAGCATGTTTTTTAAATAAAAAAAAAAGAGATATTAATACAAATTTATAAAAATTTTATTTATTTGAAATAAATAGGAAAAATGTATCCCTTCAAACATTATTTTCTTACTAATGTGTCTCTTTATTATGTTAACAAAAACATCTATTTTAATTGCAAACACTATTTTTAAAATAAAAACCCATCATAATCTCAAAATCAAGTTTTAATATAAATATTAAAATAATGTCTCGATATTCTATATGTGATTGAAGACAAAAAACATTATTGATGTAATAAAATAATGCCAAATATATATATATATAAACATAGATATTATTTTTGATAGAATACCCATGAGCTTTTTTTGTTTCATATTATGTATATAATAATTGAAAAGGAATTTATTAACATTCTCATAAAAAAGTATAATATTATGAAAGAACTATTATAAAATTTTCTAATAAATTAAATATAGTGTTAAGTTTTTTATTTATAATGCATTTAAATCAAAATATAAAAAATATTGAAAAAATACCATAGTAAAAGACAATTATTTGATTAAAGGACTTGAACCCGCATGTCTAGCACAAAAAAACAAGGCCTGATGCCTATGGGTTTCAATTCTAGCCATGTGATTGACATTTTTTTTTTTTAAGGTTAAGAGTGTACAATAAATTACTAGCTCTTATATATATATATATATATATATATATATATATATATATATAAAATATTCATAAAACATGTACCTTATATTTTTTTTATCAAAAAATATAATCCTTAAAAACATATAATAAACTACATCATTTCTCATTTATTTTTACATAAAAACGTATAATAAACACACTAAAAAGCTTAATAAATCAATTTATAATCCTTAAACCCCCTACATTGATCAAAAATAATAAAATTAAACCATATAAAAAAATATTTTTTATCTCTAAAAACACCTTAATTAAACTTATTTTATCAATAATAATTCAATGATACCAATATCAGCCTTTTAAATTATTAAGATATGATGGACTTCTTTTTTCTTTTTTTTTATTTGCTAATTCAGATAATTTATGAAATTATATATTTTTAATTTTATTATTATTCAACTTTTTAACTTGTAATATTTATTCCTTATTATTTCAATAAACTTAAAAAGATATAAAATATTAATAAGTTATTTTCTAATTTATTTTTCATAACATAATCAAATATTGTTAAGTGTTTTCTAATTTATTTTTCATGACATTACAAAACATCAAAAAATAATTTATTTATTTAAAATTTATTTTTTAAATAAAATCATTTTAAAAAACTATTTTTCTGAAAACAAATGAGGTTAATTTTATTAATTTCATTTTTACCTCTTTAATCTATGATTTGAATGGAAAAACTATAATTATTTGATTTGGATACTTGCTTAATGCTAAATACCCTCTCTACAGTTGAGTCTCTCAACATCGCCATATTGAGATCATAAATTCCTTTTCTTTTCTTTTTCTTTTTAATTTTCGAATCAAAGACCCATTTTATCAAGAAGTGGGCTGGCCCCATTGTGCCATTTTTTTTTTAAGAAACATCAGTTTAGTTCTCAACCTAAATACTCATTCTCAGTTGGATCTGAGATCTACATATTATCAATTTGGTCTTAAAAACTTGAGATAATTCTTAATTAGGTCCTTTTGTTGATGCTTATTAAGTTTTCCATCAATTTTTCTTAAAAAAACAATCTCATTTTTGAATAAAATATGCACTTTAGATGAAAATTATTAACCATTATTGACAAAACGATACCATGGAGAATATAAAAAATACACATTATATATATATATTAGCATACACTTGTAATGGATGACAATGTCTCTTGAATAGTGTTGTTTTTTAAGGTCATCAAATTTTATTTCTTTATAATTTTATCCTTGCATGTTATATTGACAACATTTTATTTGTTAGGATTTGCTTCTCTTTCAATGTTTTTGAAGAATATTAGATAATCTTGATAGTCAATTAAAAATCAATTTTATGAATTTGAATTTAAGGTTATAGCTAAAAAATAATAGAAAGAATAAGGACCACAATAAATAAATAAAAACATATCTAACTTTTCAAAGGGCACATAAAACTTCATATTGGTCCCTAAAATTTCAAATTATTATATATTAGTCCTTGTTGTTTGAATTTTTTGTTTTTTAAATCAAAACTTTATTTTATCACGTTTTAGTCTCTAGATGTTAACGAAGGAGATAAAAAGTTATTTTAATAAGAAAATGAGAGAAAAAGCATATACTCAGCCACTTTCTAACTATTAAAAAAAATTAATATTAGAATAAACGGGTTATTTGTAAAAAGAGAAATTTAATGAAGGTGGCTTTATCGTTTAATTAAAAAAATAGATAATTTTGCTTTGATTAGGTTTTTTAAGTGATTAAAAGATATTTCTAAATTAAAATTATTATTTTAAAATTTTAAGATATTTTTTATATATTTTTAAATAAAAACAAGTTGAAATTTGATTTTTTTTGAATACAAAATACTTACAGGCCAACAGCTCTTAACCTTTTGCTTTGAAATCCAGGCACGCTTGGACCAAGCACACGTGTGTCTGGGTTTTTTCTTGCATTTTTATTTTTTTCTGAGATCCAACGCCAACTTTCGAGGATGGACTCGATGTAGAAATTGAACAAAGGATTCCTCACAAAGTCCTTATAAACTCTAGCGATATCCCTTGAATTGTTGGTTAAAATGGATGCTACCGCATCATCTGAGAACTTTTCCGAATTCCGACGCCTGGAACTTGTCAAGAAGCCATGCCGGGCATAAGCTAGTAACCACAGAAAAGAGTCTATTAGTTAGCTATAAATGACAACACGTTGAAAGAATCTACTTTATAGGGTTTTTATGAGGGGAAAAAAATGTATTTTTGAAATGTTAGTTTTAGGAGGAATTACTTGAAAATTTTGAGTTCTTCCCTTGAATTCACAATATACCATGGTGTTAGAATAATATACTTATTTAAATAAATAAATAAATCAATAAATAAACAACATTAAATGTCGTCCACGTCTTCCTTCTCCTGTGTTCCATCCCGCGAATACTGATCGATTAAAGAGAGAGTGTGTGTGTAATTGGAATTTTATAATTTTGAAACCCAAAAAAAGAGGAGGAATATGAGTTCAGGGGAGGAACAGACTTTGCTATTGGAAGATGAACTCCTACTACAGGTTTTTCATTCTTCTCTCTCTCTTGGTGCTGATTCTTCTCCTTTGTATATATGTATTTATAACAGATTATTGAATGTTATGGAACTTGTTTCTGGGTTTTTCTTGTTTTTTTTCTTCCAAATAAAGATTGAATTCAAAGAATGAATAGTAATTCAAATTTCAAGTAATTTGTTCTTTCCTTTTTTATGCTTTCGGATATTGATGATGATTCTGTATAAAATTGTTTCTTCCACAGAATCTGTCATAGCTAGATAAGCATCACAGACGCAGAAATCTCCAACCAGTTTTATTCTGTCTGATTTCCTGTCTGCATGTTCATGTTTGACTGCTCAAGTTGTCTCTTTTGTGATTCTTTTGTCTGTTTAGCTTTCATCAATGCGTGCTGTATCTGTCAACTTATTTTTTTCTCTTCTCAAGTCTCTGCCCAAGTTTCGTGGTAGTAGCGTTTTTGTGGTTTTTACTGTCTGAGCTTTATAGATAGGAGAGTTAATAGGGTGTGGGTGGTAGATGAGATGCAACAAAAGAATGTATTAAATCTACTTGCAGGCAAATCGTGCTTGTGTCAGCCAGGCACAAAGGTGGACTTGGCATTTGAGTAAGGTTATGTCTGTGATTAAGCTCTTTCGGAAAATGGAAATGTGCTTAGTGGATTTTGTTTGCATCCATTCTAACATATACAGGTCAAAAGGGAATCGATATTTTTGCCACTAACTAGCCCCTTCTCTTCTCTTTTCTATTTTTTCTTTTTGCTAATTTTGAACTTGCTTGAGAGATGGAAAGGGTTTTGCTTTATCTTTGAAACTCCAACAGCTTGGTGTTGCAATTTACAAGCTTTGTTTGCAGGCAACTTGCCTTGCAGCTGAGACCACTGTCTCTCTCCATAGGACATTATGATTATGGATGTCTTGCAGTTGGTGGCATATGTGATAAATGCCATGGCTTCACCAATTTGCTGGTCACCAATTACTGAGGTTAAATCTGGATAGCAAAGCTTCTGCTGGGGTGTCGTAGGGTGGAGTCATGGCTAATATAAGATTGTTTTGGTTGCATTTGATGTTTTCCTTATTTGATTCTGAATTGATGAGGGATTGCTAAGTTTCAAGAATTCCACGTTAGAAGCATCATGTCCTTGTCAGGTATGGATAGCAGTCCCATGTAATGAAATACTTATGGGACTCATTTCTAAATCTGGACGTGAAGGACTCAGTTTATTCTAGAGGGAAAGATATTCAATTAGCTTGAGATGTTGTGTCCTAGAAAATCTGATATCATTCGATTCCAATGCTTCAACAGTTATCTGTATCTGATTTCTATCTCCAAGTCCATCAAAGAATTTTCATGAACAAATGACAATTTCTGTGATTTGTAATCATGTGTGAATAGGGGTGTGCCTTAGCTGTCAATCCTCTGCTTTCTTATATTCTTAGAATTTGGTGTGTTTCCATATTGGTGCAGTGGTGTCCATGTCCTGTAATTGTTTCCATGCTGCGTAGAGGTTGGACCAAGCACAACAGTCTTACCTCTAATTTTCTGGTGGCATTTAAAAGATCATCAGTACCCTTTTTAACACCAGCCAAAATATAACTTCATAGTTTATCTGTGATCATTATAGGTGCCCATTAAACACCGTTAAAACTAAAAACCAGTTTGCATCTTGCACCATGTATTTGTCACATGTTTTGTATTATATTTGTAGAACAAAAATAATGGACTCCACACAGGAGATGGCTCGGTCGACATTAATGGGACGGCTGTTCTTAAGCAGAAAACTGGAAATTGGACAGCATGCTCTTTCATATTGGGTACTGAATATTATATTTCACATTAGTGCATAGCCTATGCTCTTTCTGACTTCCATCATGCCACATACAGGAAATGAATGCTGTGAACGCTTGGCCTACTATGGAATTGCTACTAATCTGGTCACCTACCTTACTGGGAAGCTACATGAAGGAAATGTGTCAGCTGCAAAAAATGTTAACATTTGGGCAGGAACTTGCTACTTCACACCACTCATTGGAGCCACTTTGGCAGATGCTTATTGGGGAAGATATTGGACCATTTTTGTTTTCTCCACAATTTACTTCATTGTAATTATGTGCTGAACTCGTTATTTCTATTCTATGCCTACATCTGTGATCAGTACATTTCTGTTTCTTGACCATAAAGTTCAAAATCTTGCCCACATCTCTCAAGTCAATGGAGCTTCTCTGGTTCTAATTTCATTTCATTTAGTCTAAGGGGTTGTCTACTGCTGCTACACTATATGTGCAATGGTTAGCAATAAAAAAAAATTGTTCTAGTTATGCCACTAAACAGGAAAACTTTTATAAAAAGCCTGAATGAAGTTTTGTTGATTATGTGAATTTTTATGTGGTAGGAAGTATAGGTACAAGGTTAAGCAAGGTCTATATTTTTCTAAACCTGCATTGGTCGCTTTTACCCAGATTTAATCCATATTGTTTTCTTCAAGTGTTGGATTTCATCATGTTGATTGATGCAGGGAATGTGTACGTTGACTCTCTCAGCAACTATTCCTGTATTAAAGCCAGCTGAATGTATAGGTTCTCTATGCCCTCCAGCAACTCCTGGTCAGTATGGGGTATTCATTTCTGGCCTCTATCTGATTGCATTTGGGACAGGTGGTATCAAACCATGTGTTTCATCCTTTGGGGCGGATCAGTTTGATGACACTGATCCTAAGGAAAGGGTAAAGAAGGGGTCCTTCTTCAATTGGTTCTATTTTTCAATCAACATTGGTTGTCTTGTATCAAGTAGTTTAATGGTATACATTCAAGACAAAGCTGGGTGGGGGCTAGGATTTGGAATTCCTGCATTGTTCATGGGCATAGCTATTGCTATCTTCTTTTCAGGCACACCACTTTATAGATTTCAGAGGCCAGTGGGGAGCCCAATTACTAGAATGTGCCAAGTTGTGGTTGCGTCATTCCATAAGAGGAATTTGGAGGTTCCCCAAGATAGTAGTCTCCTATATGAAACCCAAGAAAAACACTCAACCATTGAGGGAACCTGGAAACTAGCGCACAGCAATGAATTGAAGTATTTTTCTTCTTTCTCCGTACCTGATCTACTTTCCTCAGTTTTGAACTAGCCATTCTATTTGATGTGCGTTTTTGCTATCAAAATTGATTATCATCCAGTGAAATAGTTATTTACATATGCAAGAAGAGTTGAATCTTCTGTTTTGTTTTGTATCCAAATTCAAGAGTTGATCATCAAATGTGAATAGTGGTTAAGAATGGCCGTTCTAGTTAACACTACAATGCCTTATTTGAGGCAAGTTCAAGCATAACTTATAACTCATGCAAGCATAGTGTGAAGAGCTGTGCAGAATACACAGAAAATTTTCATATTCTGTGAAGTTCATATCCTCTGTTATTTTAGTTGTTAACTACTCATATTTGTGTAAGCTTACACTATGCAGTTATCTGTTTTTTTGCTAGCACTTTATTAATGTATTAATGCAAGCCCACAGTTGAACTCTGCTCGCTCTTCCCCTTCTAATATCTTGTCATGGTTCCCCTCATTGCATTCTTTGAAATATTTGTTTATTGACCACGCAGAAGAGGCTTAAATAATGGCATGTTATTTTGTGGAATACTTTGTATTTATTCTCTATCTGGCAGCAGAAGAATCACTGACTTTTCAGTTGAATTGAGTTTTGGCTGTCTGTTAATGGACATATGGTCCTTTATCTGTTCGCCTTTCCTCAGAACTTCGTCTTTCCAAGGTCTACTTGCAATTTCATTTGGTGTTGAGACTACATATTAATGGGAATTTTGTTTAGTTTATGTGAAGAGACTAGAGAGCAAGTTTTTGCGTACATATTTATTTTATCTGATATGCCAAAGGAGCACTGGGAAGAAAGTTTCAACAGACCTGTCTCTGCCTTAATGAATTCCTTTTTATTGATTTGTGTTGCCTTATCCTCATTTTAGTAAGTGTGCCTCATCATTTAAAAATCCACTAAAATCTTTTCTCAAAAGAACTTAACTAAATTCCTATTTTCCTCTAGATGCCTTGATAAAGCTGCTATAATGTCAGAGGCTGAGATAAATGGTGGGGACTTCAGTGATCCATGGAGGCTTTGTACTGTGACTCAGGTGGAGGAATTGAAGATTTTGATCCGCATGTTTCCGATCTGGGCTACAGGCATTGTCTTTTCTGCTGTCCATGCCCAAATGAGTACAATCTTTGTGGAACAAGGGATGCTGATGGACAAGACAATTGGTTCTTTCAACATCCCTCCTGCTTCTATGATCACAATTGATGTTATTAGTGTTATTTTCTGGGTTCCAATCTATGATAGGATCATTGTTCCAATTGCAAGGAAGTTCACTGGCAGAGAGAGGGGCTTTTCAGAGTTGCAGCGTATGGGAATTGGCTTGTTCATTTCTATGCTATCAATGACAGCTGCTGCTTTGCTAGAGATTAAGCGCTTGCAGCTTGTAAAAGAGCTTGGATTGGTTGGTGATGCTGCTGCAGTTCCTCTTAGTATCTTGTGGCAAATTCCCCAGTATATGTTGATAGGTACAGCAGAGATCTTTACATCCATTGGTCAGCTTGAATTTTTCTATAAACAGTCTCCAGATGCCATGCGGAGTCTATGCACTGCTTTGGCACTCCTGGCTGCATCTTTGGGTAATTACCTGAGCTCTTTTATTCTGAGCATGGTGACTTACCTCACAACCACGGGTGGGAAGACAGGATGGATACCAGATAACTTAAATAAGGGGCACCTTGATTATTTATTCTGGCTTTTGGCTGGGCTCAGCTTCTTCAACTTGCTGATCTACACTGTTTGTGCAAAGAGATATAATGAGAAGAAGGCCTCCTAAGGTTTTGACAAGAGGGGGGGCCTAGTAGCCCCATGGGAAAAGGTTTGATTACAATAGTTTGTGCATAAGCAACACTTATTCTACTATAACATTATTTCCTTCCAGGTTTGAAGGAATGTATATTACGTTGGTTTAGTGCTTATAATAAAACCCTTTTGGTTTGATCCTGTCCTGGTAAGATTTGTTTTGTAATGATTCAGGGGATAACAGCCAGCTTATTTGGGTGCTTTCTTGTTGAAATAATGGATACAGCAGGTGCATTGGTACAATCTGCTTTGCGTTTCCACAGACAGGTTTCTGTCGAATTAGTAGTTTAATTGCAAAATGGGAATTACCCCACTTCATCTTTTATTGTTTGGGGTAGTTAAGACACTTTTGAGTCCACCTGCAATAGATCTTCCCTGCACTTCTTTGGCCACTAACCACTGCTTGTTGTCATACAGTTTTATCTTTCAGGAGTATAACTGATTCTCATTCCCTGAATTGCCTTGTCCACATACGGTTGCCTTTCCTTTTGGATCTACTCTTGCACACTAGAGTAGTTTGAACAGATTTGTGTATGCAACTTACAGCATCTTTAGTTGCCAAATGACTGGCTCTCCATTTATTTTAAAGCAGTCTTGGAGAAAGTTTGATTCTGAGAATTGCAATTGCTGCTTCATTTTTTATTTTTTTTTGGTAACAAAGGAACGACGTCTCTTGCAAGGAGGGGACTAGAACTACCATTTGCATCTTCATCGAATGGCTGTCTTAAATGACTCCATTTGACTTCTAGTCATTCCCGAAAGATCATTAACTAGAGCATCAATTTTCTTCTTATGGTTTCCTAACCTGACGAAGATCATGGCCACCTGTTATTTGAGTGTCCATATTGTAAAGCTGTGTCAGGTGCTGTTCTGCACAAATGTGATTACAATACAATAAATGGTCCCTAGATGGTGGAGTTTGAGTGGAACAGTCATCATGTTATATGGAAACAATTGGCCATGATGGCTTCTATATCCTTAAGGTGTTCCATATAACATGGATATGCCAGATTGTTAGCTGCAGAATGCATAAAACTAAACGACTTGAAGAAGCAGCCATGGATCATCTTCATTTACAATTCGTGGCCGGTGGGTATGAGTTTATTAGTTTATGTATTCTGTCTTGGATTTATGCTTTTGTCTCAGGGTAAGCTCCTATTTTTTTCCATTTGAGTAATGAAACTCTTATCATTTTGTTGAAAATGATGATAATATTAAAAATAACTCATCTCTTACAGAACATAGTAAGAGAGAGAGAGAGAGGATAACTAAATGAAGACATATACTCTCTAGCTTCACTAAAAAACTCATTTGGGACTATCTGGCCATTGAAAATATTCTCAAGCTAACCATGAAGTTAAAGCCTTCCATAATTCTGGCCATGGAAATGGATTGATAGAGTCTGCTTTGAGATGCATCTGAAACTGGGAAAATTGTTCTTTACCTCCCAAAGTTGGGCTCTTTCCTTTTTCATCCTTGAATGGTTTTGATAAATCTCAGTGCAATCTCATCAAAAGCTAGCCCTCCAATAATTCTCTCTCCATTTCTCCTTTATCAAATATAATGCTCCAAAAAATCCTCAAAAGCCAACCAAATAGCCGATAAACACCATTCCATCGAGTAGCAGTAACCTTTCCCTAGAATCCTCAAAACCAGCATCTTCTTGATTAAGGTAGGAAGAGTTCAAGTTGCAGAGTAGCACCACATAAATATTCATTCCCAATGTATACTGAAACATCCTCATTCAATGTATCAAACCGCACACCTGATGGAATCTCCCGCTCGGATTGTTGCGGGACAAGTTCATAACACTGAAAAAGTCCAACAAATTAATGGATGCAGGGATATTCTGCCCAATCAAGTTATTGAAACTTAGATCCAATGATTCCAAGCCACTCATATTTCCTATGATGTTTGGAATCTCACCATGTAGACCATTCCAGAAGTGTTTTGAGAATGAAGAGCCCCCTTAAAAGGCCTATTTCCCGGGGAATGTTTCATTCCAAAGCATTTTTTGTATGTGTGGACCGCATCGAGTTGGTATGTGAATCCTTCATATTTCATACTCAGATCAACACCAGAATATGTGAATGAAATTATAAAACCAAGGGTTCCGGAAGTCTGCGCAGCGACAACATGGAGTGTGTTGGAGAAACGTATCCCATGCCAAGTACTGCAGCAGTCCTTACCTTGCCATGATGTATCTGTAAGATATGATTTGAAATTTGACAATGCTTCTCTTTCAAAATCATGACCACCAGTAATAAGTGACATATTTGAAAGTAGGAAAAAGAAGAAACAAACAAGACTACGAAATTTCATGGCAACTTAAACTCTAGGGTGCTGATAAATTTTGCTTTCCTCAGAGTTGATTTCTCAGAAATCCAGGTAGTAGTGGTTGCAACTACTTTATCCCGCATTTACTGGTCTTTGACTGAGGTAATAGAGATTTCCTAAAGAAATATTTGAGAGCAGGAAAACATTTCTACTTTTAATATAACACTGGTTCAAACATATTTCCGAAGCGTGCAGGTTTGCCATCAATGATGCAATACAATATTCTTTATACAGTTTAGTTATGTTCTTATCAGGATTTTATGGGCTGTAAGAACTAATGTTTTTGTTGTGATTGGAAACGAAGGCAAATTCTTTTTCAGGGAAAGTACTGCATCCTTGAATGTTCAAAAGAGGTGCTTAGCATTTGCTTTTATATCCATGAAGCGTCTTAGAAGCCACAGATTTTCTTTTTTCCTTTTCTCTTTTTTGGTGTTAACAATCTTAAAAATCTTTGTAGTGACTTTCAGTTTCAGGTGGATGGCTTCTTCTTCTTCTTTGAGGAAGCAATTTTTGCTGGATTTATAAATCCACATTGTTGATACCTTTTTCTTGCTTTCTGCAGGTTGCTTGCTGTTGAATTTAGCTGAATGTCTATCAGACTTGTTCAACAAGATGATGAAACTCGAACCTCTTTAACTAGTGTAGTTAGTCAAAAGGATGCTCTACATGGTTTTTTCTAAGCATTCAGGAAAGATTCCAACTTATTTTTTGGCTAAAATTCAATATCATGGAATTCAAAGATGAAACTAATCATATACAGTTAGTCAATGATGGATTTGTTGTTTCTGTGATCAAAATTAATTATTTTTATTTTAAATTAATATCTTTTTATATTTTTAGAACATTTTAATATACTAATATTAAAAATAATTTTTAAAAATTAAATTAAATTATTTTAATTTACTTTCAAATTAAATACATTTTAAAAAAAACCATTATCATATTCACAAAAACACTCGTAGCTGTGGTGGTTACCATACCGTGCATGGGACATGCAAAACTCCATGCATTAGCATTTAAATTCCCAGCCATTTTTGGCTAGCATTTCTAGTCATTTATGGCTAGAGTTTTTTTTTAAAAAAAGCGCACCATCAGGCCGAAAAAAAGAAAGAAAATCAATAGTTATATTTTAACGCCTAATCTTTTTATATATATTATTTGAGTGTCTGCTAAATCTTTTTTAGTTTTCTGGTTCACGTCTGTTCTGGATATAAGTTCCCAGATTGATAGAAGGAATTGTTGGCATCATCGTTTATGCATCAGTAATCCTCAATGCAGTTTAATTAATTACTAATTTTACTCTTTATAAAGATCCAAGCCGGCAGCATTTAGACACAGTAGATGAATTGGCTCATTACTTTCTGCATAAATCATGGCATCGATCCTAGAATAAATTAAAAACAGTACTTCCCCAGAACTCCAAAGAGAGGTTCTTAGCAGCTTCTCTGTAATCCATTCAAGCAGTCTTTCTGGAGCTACATTTGTTTTCTTGCGGTGGTTGCTTGTGAAAAGTGGCCTTTCAAGATCCTGCTAGCTAGCTCCGATCGAGGCCAGGATTGTTAGCAATAGTTGCCTGTTGCTTTCTAACATTCAGGTAAATTTACAAGCTATTGCTTAGGTTAAAGATGGAGTTGAACCAGATCTCATGAAATTCAAAGAAGAGACATCGTTCTATATATGCATCTCGTCTGTCGCACAACCTCTTGGTGATTTTTAAGACTAATATATATATAATTCAACAAGATTATGCAATTCAAAAGCATTAAACATCAGCAGAGATATGTTTTAATTTCCAAGATAGAGAACCTGCGTTCTACTTACTTTTCTTTGCTTAGCAAGGGTTGATACTATTGTCTATTTCCATAATTATATGCTGTTATGTTTTTTTTTAGAAATATATGAAAATGATATATTTTTTATTTTTTAAAATTTATTTTTAACATTAATATATTGAAATGATCCAAAAATATAAAAAATAATTTTAAACTAATAAAATTTTTAAGTCTTTTAGAAACGCATTTTGACATACAATTTCAAACAGCTCCACGTGGTTCCCGGTTTTGTTTATGATGCCTTTTTAAAAAAATAAATATTTTTTTAGTTAATTTTATCTTATTTTTCTATTTTTTATTACAATATTTTTTTAGTTTTTTTTTCTATTTGATTAGAACCTTTTTTTTTCTAATTTTTTTATTCAGTGTTATCACGGTTTTCTAGCCTTTTTTTAATTTAAAACATTGTAATAACCTTTTAGTAAATAAAAACATAAAAAAATAAATTAAATATTTTAAAAGTTGTTCTTTATTTTCAAGGTTTTGACTTCCATTAGCATCAACTTGTAGTTTTTTAATGCTGTAGGAAAGAGTGTCAAAGGCCTAGATTTTCTCTCTCTTTAATTTATAGAACCAGGCTACTCCCCTTTCTATCTTAAATTAAAAACTGAAAAATAAAAAACAAATAAATTCTGGATTAAAAGTGCAGTTTTAAAAATCTTAAGGACTGAAAATATATCAATTGAAAATTTGGGGGACAAGAGTCAACTTTTAGCATCAATGTTGAAAGCTGAAACCTTGTCTTTCACTTTGCTCCTTGTCTTTAAATCTTGTCCAATAGAATAGAAGTAATTAACCTTTAATTTGATCATAAAATAATCAAATCGAGTAGAAAAAAATTTAATGACTAAAATTATTTAAAAAAAAAAAAAAAAAAACACCGCTCGAGTATATATAATAAAATACGAGAAATTGCATGGGGCCTTGAGCTATAGTAAAACGACCGCGTATTTGACACAAGACAAGCAATCAATTAGAGGTGTAATGCATAAGATTTTATTTTATTTTATTTTTAAAAATTGTACGTATTTATTACTTCTTTTTACAGAATTTATTTGAAGATTATTATAGAATCTGCTAATACTTTTGTTATTTTATTCCAATCTTATATTTCTTTCTCGAAAGAAATAGTTTTCAATTTCTTTAATTTACTGGGAAAATTACTAGCAACAAAAAGAAAAAGAAAATAATTCGGCGCAAAAATATCCTAACCCTAAAACTCCCCCTGATAATAACGTATGAAACTCAAGTTTCCAAAGTCGTTTCATCTGTTTTTTTCTTTTCTTTTCTTTTTCTTACTTCTCCAAGATAAAGTAGCCAAATCGTAAAGGCTAGAGCTGCCGGAATCCCATGCTATTTCGTAAACCGAGGAGAATAGGGACAGCGGTGAGTTTCCGAGAGAGAAAAGGCTTACAGCTGTTGAAGGAACCCATGCCTCTCCTATAAATATACTACTGCAACACGGAGCAGCTAACAATACTTTTTCTCTTTTTCCAAGTCATATACACACCAGCGCTTCGTATCCATGACAGAAAACCTAGTTACTTATCCCTCTCAAGCACTCATTCTTGCACTTGTACTGCTCTCCGTTTCATTAGCACTACTCGTCGTGATGGTTTATGGACTCGTAAGCTTGTGTTGGAGTTGTTTGGAAAATCGGCTCGATATCCTCCTTAACCAAGATCATCACCCTCATGATGTAGAAAGAGGACAGGTAACCGGAAAAGAACAACCTGCTACTGTTGTCATCTTGCGATTTTCTATCGTTCAAGTCGATGAAACTACAGAGTATTTTAGCAATGGATGTGCGATATGCTTGGATGATTTTCGAAAGGGGATGGACTGCTGTGTTCTTTCGTCGTGCAAACATGTTTTCCATTCAAGCTGTTTAAAGCAGTGGCTGGAACTGAATCTGACCTGCCCTCTTTGTAGAAGTTATGTATATGATGACATCCTTCTTTGTTAGCTCTTCATTATGTGTTCGTATTTGCTTTGTTTTTGGAAGGGTTAGAGTTCCTTTTTTTTTGTTTTTTGGAATATTAGCTATTAAAATTAATAGGAAGCAAGATCGTCTTCTTTTCCGTTTTTCTTTGGTTAGTTGGTTCGAGCTTCCTATGTTAAAATTAGCTGTTCAGAAGGAGAGAGTTGGAAATTAATCAGTGCAAGTGAAAAACTTCCAATTAATTATGAGAATCATGCTCATAAAGAATTTGAAATAGAAAAGAAACTAAAATAATACTTGATGTGAACTTCATGCAATCCAGATCTAATTCCTAAAAAAAAATAAAATTATAGGAATGTAATACACCATGCTATTAGAATGATATTAAATACCTCTACAAAGCTAATTAATTTCTGATAAATTAGATTTAGTTTATTCAAGAATTAAAAAAATATTAAAAAAGTTTAAAAGTATCATTCATCAAAAATTTAAAAATTTAAACTTTACACATGTTTAAATAATTCCAAAAAATTAACTCTTATAGATTTATTCTTATGGATTGGATGAACACACTTACAAAAATTAACTTAAAAACTTTAACTAGTAAACTCAAACATTGATTTAAACAATTCTTGAATTTTAGCTGAAAATTAAAATATTAATTAAATTTAAATATAAAAATAATAATAAAAACAACAAGTCTAAACAATAGTTTGTTGATATCTTATATAATAAAAGAAAAACAAGATAAAATATCTTAATCCCCTAACTTGAGTAACTCTTGGCCAAGATCTAATTTCCTAGATATTTTTGGATTGCTTAGCCAGCTTTTAAAGTCTTTTAGATGCTAGAAAATATAATTTGAATAAAAATTTATTTGTTAAAGTCTTTCCTTTTAGGATTAGGATTTCTTTTTGGAACATGAAAAACAATTTTAGAAATCAATTCCTCACTCATTAGTCTATCATTTTTCTTCCTTGATTAGGAGAATCAAACATATAGCATTAAATAATCATTCTAAGTCTAGAATTAAATTTTTAGAATTAAATAATCATTCTAAGGCTAGAATTAAGACTTGACATCCCCTTAGTTTCCTTGCATGACTAGGAAAATTCTTTATTTGTTGCAAAATATTATCCTAAATAATAAAGAAAATAATGAATGAATTTTTCGATTAAATTTCATGAAAATATTTTATTGATCCTTGTAAAAAAAATCTCAACATCTTAATTAGTCCAACCCAACTTTGAACTTTATATCACCCAAACTCATACTTATTAATATAATTCAAATCAAACTTAATATAAACTCTTAACAAGTCTACTTTACTACTCAAATAAGACCCATACATGAACAAACCTGAAAAATCCCATTAAACCTAAGTACAAAATGAAATGCCCTTCATGAAAAATCCATGGATAAACCATATCAATACTACAACGAGCTAGATTGGATTTAGTGTTGCTAAAGCAATCCTATTTTAAATGATACGAGATTTTAATGGCAAGGAAGCTAGCCAAAAAGAACTCGGCATTTTCTTTACGCCCATCGTTGGGATAGGAAAAGGGGAGAGGAAAAGGTGGAGCCCTACAATGGATGAAGGGGCATTACTAGGCTCAAATTCGGAATGACCTGATGGGGAAGGCTTGTATTCCAACCCAACACTTGCCAAAGCGACGGTAGTTTCTGAAATAGATTCCAAGTTCAATTCCCTAACAAAAAGAAGAAAGAAAAGTCTATTCGGATTCAGACTAATCTTTTCTCGCCCAAAAAGATCAGTTCCCTGTCAGATGTTTTCTTTTTTACATCTCTCCGCTTTGCTTCCTCTCGTGTCCTTCCGAGAACATCGTCCTTAGAGAACCAGCACCGTGAAAGAATATCAGCAGGGTTCAGCTAGTGATCAAGAAACTCGAAAGGCAAAGTAGATCAGATTAGCACAATCAAAACCTGAATACAAATGCTAGACTTGCAGAATAGCTATACCAGTCATATTAGAGATAGACTTGATCGGAAATCCTCCCAAAAATTCCTGACTAGTTGTTGCTCAAAAAGCACCCACCAACGTCGGCTAAAACAGGTCCTCTAATGCTGGCGATTACTCTTCTATATTCTGCTGGCAGCAATTATTCTTAGTGCTTCCAACCTTGCAGGTTACCAAGAAGGGCAAATCTATCAGTATATCCTCCTCTTCAAACAATAAGAGTTGGATTTCTGAACCATATTACTCAAAATCATGCCTCGGTACAACTGGAATTCTTTCTGAGGTCAAAAATTACGTAAGCCAGTATCGACTAGAAATCTCATTATAAAGCTCTGATTTTTGTCTACAAATTTATACTTGGGCATCCCGAATGAAAAATTAAAAAAAAAAATTAAGACCCTGGTTTGAATCAAGGATGGAAGGAACCCCTGCCCGAAGCTCATGGGCCTCCCAATGAAACAAACAAAATATGTTGTATATGTTGTACAGTAATCTGTTTATTAAGACTGTCTTGAACAAAAAAAATTTAAAGAATCTAACACTGGCAACTTTTTGTTTGAATATATAGCTGGTTAACTACTCCCTCTTTTTCTTGTGTGGAAACGTTGAATGCCCATCAGAGTTTAATCGACCAAGGGATTGTGAGGCAAGGCTTTGGCAAGGTGACACTTACATTAAATGGCGGGGAGAGATTTTATATGCACTGCAAGTGAAAGACAAGTCTTCTGTGGTTTAGACATTTGTGGAACTCAATGTTGAAAACCTGTGTCTGTCGTGTTACCTGCTCATAAGATTTACCTCCTGTTGACAATCGAAACACAGTCATTTAGACTGGCCATCCTAAAACAAGCATCAAATGACACAGGTTATCTGGAAAATATATCATCAAGTTTAGAGATCTAATAAACAGGCTGACTATACTTGTTTCTGATGAAATTTAGCTTCATGTTGAAAGATTTTAGTAGTTAGGACCTTTTCAAAGAGAGAATTAGTTCTAAGGAAGAAGTTATTAGGAGGTTTGCTATGGTTTATGAATGGAAGGAAAAAGTCGACAACAGTGATAGAAATCCAAGTCATTAATTTGAAATAACATGGAAATATTAAAGATGGTTCACAGAAATAAAAGTGAATACAGAACACTGGGACTGCATACCCTCAGTCAACTTTAGGCACAAGTGCGCTAGCTTCTACTCAACTATGATTGTGAACTCCTCCCTCTCTTTTTTGGCTTGCCAGATAGAACCCTTGAACATTTCTCAATAGTCAAGACATCGATCAAGGAAGGAAGGATTGGAGTATGAATAAGTAAATGTTAAAAAGATGCAGGAGGGCTCTCTTTTCTCCCTCGTCCTTGGATTATACAAAACTAGAGAGCAAGTGTAGTTTGAATCATTAAACATCAAAATGTTCTCATCTCCTCCCCACAATAATAATTGGTATGAATTATGAATCCAATGGCTCATTTACCACGTATCCTCCATGACTGCTTGACTCCATATTCTTATATTAACCATATATCCAATTGACCACCATCTGTATTATGATACAAACAAGAAAATTCAGTGACACCAATAATGATGTGGCACTAATCTCCATGTCTACGCTAGTTTCATATGATTCTTTGATTTGTAGATTCTATGTCAACTTGTAGCAGTGTGAGCTCCTGCTCAACCCTTCCTTTTATCTATGAATCATTCTAAAAAATCCTGACTACACAATTACGACTAATCTGATTTTCGAATTAGTTGATTTCAAGATGAAATCCAAAGAAATGCATGCAACCCCTTCCTCCCAAGTATCAGCATGTATTGAAGACATGTATTTGTAGAGCAGATTTCAAATATAGTTAGGGTGGAGAGAATTTGTCCTTGTTCCACAGCAGTGATACTTTAATAAATTGCTTCTTTTGTCGCTGTAATTTTTGCTATTTTTTCAAGATTCAGCTTCATTTGCACAGGTATTTTCTGTGAATTGCAAGCATATGATATTCATATGAACCTTCTTTTGTAGTTCCAGACGCTTGGTTCTCTCTAAGCATTAATAGTTAACACCACTTTTTAGAAGTGTTTTCCTCTGTTTTCACATTTTATTTCTACACAAGAAAGGAGTGGAAAAATTACTGAACTTTTGGCTTTTGGATGTAACTATGAAAGAAAACCGAAGCTGCAACTACTCATTTTTGGCTTGAATCTTTGCAGGCGATGGGGTGCATCCTAGTCAGAACTTTGTTTTGTCTCTTAGAAAATTCTGCTCTCCACGGGAAAAAGACTTGGGGATCGAAAAAAAGGATACAGTAGCTCTCTGTATCAAAGTTCGATGCAGTTTTGTTATCTGTCAACTTCAGTTTGGTAGTCCCTTTCCTGGAACTTGGTTTCAATGATCCATACAACTTCACGCAATTGAATGGTTAGAAAGTATTGGATCTAATGGAAGGTTTTTGCACATTGTCATAATTATATTTAGGTTTCAGGGCACAGTTTTCACATTTGTTGCAAGACTTGAGGGAATCTATTTTCTTAAAAAAAAGAAAGGGCCAAGCACGCCGGTATAGCATTGATTACTTTTCAAATTATTATATAAAAACCTAATGTGTAAAATTTATAAAAATTTTTAAAAAAAAAACATTATCCTTCTAATTTCTTTAATTAAATAGATGACATGATATTTGCCTGGGTTGAGTTGGAAAGTTAGGTTTTTGAATAAAAAATCTATTTTGAACTTCACCTATTTTAAACCCCTTAATATGATAGAGTTGGTCAGGAAGACAAAAAGGCTAATTCAAAAGGCTTTTTAAGCTTGAATCTACTTTTTCCGGTAAGAAGAAAATTTCAAAACAATCCAGGCAAATGATACATCATTTGTTTAATTAAAAAAATTAGAAGGGCAATTTAAAAAAAAAAAAAAAACCAAGCAGGCCAGTCTAGCATTGATTACCTTTTGAATTATTATATAAAAATCTAATATGTAAAATTTATATATAAAAAAAAAGAGTTTTGATTAAAGAGATATATCTTTTTCCACCTTGATTTAAATGATTGTGATTTTTATGAAAATTTATTTCAATAGATTTTATTTTTTCATTCAAAAAGCAATAGGCTAATAAAAAAGATATGTTCAAGTAAATAAGAAAATGAAAAAACTAGTGCATATCTATGAAAGAAGGCATTTTAGGGGGAAAACAGAAGAAGAATTTGAGTAGGTTTGCTGTTAGGCTGTTAAAAATTTTTGGCTTCATATATTAAAAGATTTTAGTGGTTTGGTCTTTTCCAAAGAAACTATTTTTTCTTTTTTTGTGTAAAGGAAATAATGAAACATGCCAAAAAGTAGCACCAGCAGAATATGCAGACAGTAAAGACGAGAGGCCTGGAGGAAAGAACCACCTAGTCTCCTTATCAGCACTAGAAGATCCTAACTTAGCTAGATAATCAGCAGAGCTGTTTACTTCCTGCAAGACATGTTGAACACAACAACACCAATCCCACTTCATCGACAGTCTAATATCCTCAATAAAAATGAAAGAAGGACGAGCAGATGAAAGACATCCATTAATTAACTCCAATGCCTCTAGCGAATCAGCTTAAAAAATCACTCTTCAATACCCCTTACTCCAAGCAAGCAATGATCCAAATCTAATAGTAATTAATTCAACAATCACTTTAGAAGACAAGCCAATAAACCTGGAGAAGCCAATGATCCAGTTTCCACTACCATTTCTTAACAAGCCTCCAATTCCTAATCTTCCTGGATTACCATTGGAACAACCATCAGTTTTGATTTTAATTGCACCTTCAGAAGGCTTGAGCCACTGAACAAGCGTTGGTGATCAACTGGATAAACTAGAGTCCGACAAAACTAAATTAGTTAACTAATTTGATACATTAGGGATTGATTCATAATGTTTTTCTGCTCCATAATAAATAGGTATGACGTATTACCATCTGATTTTGATACTAATTATTCATTCTATAACTGATCCTCTACCTTTTCTTGGAAAATTATACTAGAAGATGAAAAATTCTCTCTTGCTATCAGCGGCTAGTAGACAAAGCTTGGCTTCCATTTTATGTGTTAGTATTTATACATTTAATCTAGTACCTTGTGTATTCTAAATTTGTCTATGAATAAATATTAGAAAAGGAAAATTATCATAAGAAATCCTCAGTCATTAAATTCAATGCTCTCAATATAAACAACGTTGAAAACATTAAAATTTATATTTATCTACAAAAGATTTGGGCATGAGGAAGTCAGTATTACAGTCTAAAATAATATGATGTATTCTCTTGCTTTTTATGGTCTCCAAAAGTTGAAATTAAACTTGAATATCACAGTTGAACTTAATGCAGGATTTTTTTAATGTTATACAAGACCCTGCCTATGGCTTCTAGGAAATTTCCAGCTTTATGTGAAAACAAGTGACTGCAAATGGCAATGATCTAGAATTGTACCTCATGCTAAGGCTTTACAGATAGTGAATGAGCTCAACTGCGAACTTCCCTTTCTTTGTAGTATTTATTTCTCCTATCTGGACTAGAAGGAATTTCAAGCATTCAGAACGATCATCTACACAAAAATTTGAATAATATTGGACATAAAAGTTCAATAAAACTGACCTTTAGCCTTCCTTTCCCACTTACTGAGACAACATCTCCAGTTTTTAGTGTAGTGTTGTTTTTTGTGATTGTGGTCCAATTCACACGCACATCCTTGTTACTGCAAATCAGTTTCAAGAAAAAATCCTGTTACTGAAATGGCCCACCTTGAGTTGTGTCATGTTTAACTTGTGCCTTTACAGTTTGTAACCTATTTAAGCCTATATGAATGTAACTAAACAAATTTCTGTAAATGAAAATTGAAACTTCTATCCGAAATTGTCATTCACACCAAGAAGCAAAGGATCATAACTGCCCTGAGTAATGGCATTTCTTAGTTAAGTTTATAGATGCATACAAGCTGTATTAGAGTATGTACATTTATTGCTAAGAGGCAGTATCCCTGTCTAAATAAGCAGTAACAGCATAGGCTTTACCACAACATAGAGCAACAGCCAAGCAAAAATGAACATCAACTATTAACGGGAACAGGGTGTACCTAATCAAATCAACTAGTTTTGACCTTGAAATCTTGAATCCTGCACTTGCTAGGGCATCAACTCTTAATGATGCTTCCACTGTTTTAAATGACTTAGTCCTGAAAATAGTGGAAGGAAGAGAAACTATTTTACTTGTGTCAAATGAATAAATCACCAAAACCATGCAAAAAAAAAAAAAAACACCACAAAAATAATAATTTGCAAACCTTGGAGGCTCATATTCAAGAGCAAGCAATGGGATTGGTGTGCACGAAACTGAAACATCACCAACCTGCAGGAGAATAGCATTAGACACTACAGATAGTAGAACTTACATATCATCATACTGAAAGCATCAAGAATGTGCCTATCTGAAAATATTTTCTAATCCATTTAGTTTTTGATATCAGATGTGGAATGCCACCTTATTGAGGTAAGGAAGATTTTCTTTTCATTCAAGTTTTTCCAATACCAATAGAAGTTATACCATGCATGAATTTCTCCTCATAGATAAATTTGCACTTTCCTCCCCAACAAATATCAAATGAAGAGTGAGGTTGCAATGAAATATAATCATTAAAACCAACAGAAAGGAACAAAGGGGAAACAAAAAAAGGACCAGGAAGTATTTTAGCTAATGTGATCAAATGAAATAGTCTTGCCAATAATTGCAGTAGTGATGTAAGATCTAAGAGAGTGAGATAAAACACATTTTTACAGTAGTCAAAACTTTTTTAGGAGAGTAGCAGCATTAGTAGAAAAGGTATTATTTATCTAAGGAAACAGAAACTACCTTGTCCAGTGATGACACAATATAGTCTACAAGATCTGGAACAAGTAGGACTTGAGCCCTTTTCCCCCCCTGCACAAAGCAAAGGAAAGGAAATGAAAAGGTTGCACTCCGATCCACAAAGCTTTATAACACTTTACTTGCCAGCTAAAAACTATTAGCAATACTTACGCACCCATACAAATAAGTGTCTCTCTATTCCACATATTAAAAAATATGTCTCTAAGTGAGAGACACTGCTCAAATCAGTTAGGCTGCAAGCAACCCATTATTTATTAAAGGAATTGGGACTAGGCTAACATGTCCTGTTTTTTTTCTTTCATTCTTGTTTCAAATTCTTCTTATCAAGCTCAACTTTTAATGTTTGCAGAATCCAATTTACAACTAGTGCAGTTCGACCTCAAGCATCATCGCGACCTCCAATTTAGAGAACACAAAAACTTATAACAGTGAGCAAGCTGAGCATCTCAAACATTTGATGCCCTCGTGAGCTATGTTCAAGAAATTTTTGAAAGCTCAACTGAAATTCACAAAATAACTTTAACTTGAAACTTTGTGCTTCAGCAACCTCCTGCGTCATTCAACTTTGCTTGCCAGCAGCCAAATTTGATGATGGGGGAATAATTTATAAACTCTCTCAGCATCAAACTCAGACAATTATATATACACGCTAACTGATAGAATAGTAAATCAATCTTCCAATTCACATGCTTGACAAAGAATATGGATACCAAGAAGCTATGAACAGAAAACTACAACCAACACACAAGCATAGATTACACTATAAGCATAGCATTGATATACTGAAAAGAATAATTATTTAAGAAACTGTATTGGGGCAACACAAGGACACTACAATATAGTTATGGCATGCACTTAGTCAGACTTCTGTTATCCTTAAAAAAATGGCTTAGACTACGAATTTCCAGAATAAGATGTTTCACTGATAAGGCATGATCTATGAAAATTAAATGTGTCAAAATATATTCTAGCTGTTCTTTAAGTACATGAAGCCACATTGGATGCAATTGAAATTTGTTGGTTATACTGTCCACGCTACTTTTAAAAAAGCATACAACATGAATTTCAAATCCAGATCACAGACCTGCAAATAACATGTAATCTAAAACAACACAATGATGATACCAGCAAGATTATATCCCCAAGCTTGTTCCTGGCAATCCCAGTACCAAGAATTGCACCAAGGAAGTCACCGTGAGAACAGAGTTGAAATCCAAAGTTTCCTGTTATACTGGACAAATGAAATCATTTAATAAAACATAAATAAACAAATAAAATGAGTAGAGTTTGATAAGGTCAAGTTCTAGCATGAATCACCTCAAAGCTGCAACTATATCTGGATCACTTGTCAGTGTTTCTGGATGTCCAACAGAAAGCCGGCAACGCTCAGCCTAAGGGATTTTTTGAAAATATATTACCATAAAAAATAAATTTATGTAGAAACAAAAAGCAAACTGTAAGTCTTAAGTTTGACCTGTGGGTATCCTCCCTGAGCAATAGCCTTAACGTCAGCTAATTTTTCTAGCGCATGCAATGATTCCTTCAATGTTGGTGGGGTGAGAAAATCTGTATGGAGAACTTCTCTTCGTATTGATGCCCTTCTTGCCTGCAAAAGAGTACAATAGGAGAAGTTGAAAAGCCAAGGGAAACAGGAACTTTATAACAGGCCATAATTTCATTTACATGCACCCAGATTTCTCTAACGTTTATGCTTGTACTAGAGCAGAACTTCACAAAATCCAAAAGGCAAATGTGGTCAGGAGAAAAGATTTCAAATAGAAAACTAAAATACCATGTCTAGAATACGCTTCACTTCTTCAATGACGCTTTTGTCTTCTACACCCTTAAGGGCAACAACTTCACCCTTCGTAGCTTGAGCCACATGACACATCCCTAAAGCTATTGCATAAAAATTGCAGCACAAACCATAAGCCATCAGATGCATAATCAAACTCATGTAGTGCATAAACTAGCAATCCGTAAATAATTAGTGCTAAAAAAGTACTTCGTAAAGGAGACAATTAATTAGTAGTAATGCTTCATTTGATTCTACCACCTGACTCGATTCTTGAGTTCACAACCCCCCATGTTCCATTACGAAACAAATTTTCCTCTGATTCCTCCCATGTAGCCCCAAAACCGGTTTTTGATGAACAATAACGAAAATCAACAAGCCAAACTGAGATGAAAAGCTAACTTTGATCAAGTTTTAACAAGTTCAAGAATCAAGATTAATAATCCTGCTCTTTCTTTTGACAATATATACAAACAAGCACACGAGCAGTTTAGTTCATTTACGCTTGGAATAAAAAAAAAGAAGGTGCAGTGACTTCGCCATTAACCATTGCTAACATCAAAAATTGATTAAGAACTTGTTACACGACACTTCATTGGGGCATTTCGTCAAACACCGTTAACCCATTTCAACTAAGCTTAATCAGACAAAACATTTATCTTCCGTCTATATTTCTGTAACTCGTGTGGTAGCTATTGACAGGTTAGAGCAAATGGTCTAAAATTATGTTGCCCATTTTATCATCCTTTTCGTTGTTCTTCGTCTAAGTGAGCTTAGTAGGCGTTTTTAAGACCGAAAATGCACGAACCTGAGTGTCTGGTAATGGGACTGGAGAGGGGGAAAGAGAAATGGGTTCCATAAAAGGAGATGCGTGTTTTATTGTGAGAGAGTGATAAGGTTTGAAATGCACTTCTAAGAAACCATGGTGTTGCTATAGTGCCAGTGGTAGCCATTGCCTGCGTAGCAAGTATCGTTTGGCGTGGAGGTTTGTTTAAAAATGGCACAAAATTCATTTTTGCCCCCTATAGATTCATCAATTTATCATTTCTATTCCTATACTTTGAAATTTCCTAATTTCACCCTTTTTTAAATCTATCTTTTTCCCTATTGATTGAATGGTAGGGTTTCAACATGGGTTTGTATGATCAATGATCTATACTCCTTTTGCTAGCTTTTTATCATATAAATTAAATATTTATTTGGAAGTGCTTGTGTGTTAATTAATAATACTTTACATCCGTATTATTAATTATATGTTTTTTAAAAAATATCAACAAAAATCAAATTATTAACATAATTGTTATTATATGAATTGATTAAATAGCCCTTATACTAATACTATATTCTTAACATCAAATTGAAAAAAAAAAAAAAAAAACTAGTCACCTCGCACTTTTCTCGTCCTTTTTCACTCATCTTTTAAACCAAAAGTGATTGGTTAATCTTCTATATATATACACACACACACACACACATCATCAATCTTATCCAGAAATTTATCAATCTCGCACTTATGATCAATCTGACACTCATTTACAATCCCGGCCTCTATATCTCTCTGTAATAAATAAAGCACAAGGATGACGCAGCGGGTGGTGAGAAAGCAACCAGTTTGTTCCATTTATATTGGTATGGAATCTATCGAGTAGCATCGATCAACTTCCAAGCCATGCATCTTAGAAGGTAATCTGCCTTCCTAACAGATCAATGATTGGACATCTTGGAAATGAAGTTATAAAGTTGTAGACATCCCTCGATCTCAAGTGTTGTTAAAGAAGAAAGGAGGTAACTGGGCAATATTACCTTTCTCTGTAATAAATAAAGCACAAAGATGGTGGCATGTTGGTGTCAGGCTGTTTGTTGATGAAGGTGGGTTGGTCGGTGGTGGATCGTTGCTGCCAATGGGCGGTGGTGATATGTGGGTGTTATGCTTATTGGTTGGTGGTGGTCTGTTAGTGTTGGGCTAGATGGTTGATGAGGGTGGGTTGGTGGGCAGTGGATGGTGACATGGTTGGGGTAGTGGCACAGCAGCAGCAACTTCTCTCTTTGGTGGTTGTTGGAGAGAGTCCAACACCCAGTTATGGATGTTTAGGTAGATATGTCATCATCGCCAATGCAGAGATTGCTTACACTAATTTTTAAACTAATGAAAAATATTGCCTATTGAGCAGGTTCAAACTCAAATTTGCAGTGGTGATTGTTTGATATAAGAAGACAACGTGGGAGGTTCATATCACAACTCGCCAAGCCGGTAGCTTTTCGCATCCTGATTGATGCCTTAAAGTTCTAGCATAGAGTCCACAGTATAGTCTAATTTTACTTTTCCTTCCTTCCATGAATAATTTTACACCTCTGTGCCAAAGAGCTAACAACACCTATATCGTGCTGAAAATGAAATCCCCAAGCAAAACAATGTTTATGATTGAGTCAAAATTTGGAAAACACAAAACAAGCCACATGTATTTAGTTCTCCCTGTCTAAACCTTTTGAACTGACTGAGCTACCAACAATATTATGAGTTTGGGGTCCATCCATCGACAGGACGAAAGAACATAAAATACTTAATTCTGCTACAACAGAACTGGTCACTCACATGCTCATCAAGCAGAAAACTGTCCATGACTCTTCTACTTAATTCTAGTTTTACCCCTTCAGAGAAGATAATAGTACCCGAGTGCTAGAAACAAAAGAACTACAAAAGCAGCAGCAGGAGCAGCCCACATCCAAAAGTTCGTTGACTTTTTCCTCCTCGTGATGACTTTGGGAAGTGAATCTGGGCCTCTTGGACGATTCCTAGACCTAACAGTTTTCTCTTTCCTAACTTTTTCCTTCACTGAAACAGGAACCTCATCATTGACTTCCACCATTTCAGGTTCTACTGCCTCTGCAACTTCTTCAGCACGTTGTTCATGCTCAGTAGTTGGTGTAGATGCCGCAGCCTTCTTCTTCAATTTCTTTTCACGCTCCTGAAGTACATTTAAAAAAAAAATACACTCTTTTTTTAGTTTCTGAAAGCAAATAGTAAACCAGGTAATGGTTGAAATAAAGAAATAAACTAATAACCTTGAGCTTTTTCTCAGCATCCTTTTGAGCTCTTGCAGCTGCTTTTGCAGCAGCTTTCTCAGCCAGTTTCTTCTTCCTTTCCATGGCTTGCTTGGCTTTTGCAATTTCCTCTTCTCTTTTTATCTCCTTCAATTTTGCTTCATCAACTTCCTTTTCTGCAGGAGAAGGATTCTTTGACAGATTTTCCAACCCAGATATCTCCTTGTCAGCTATGTCAGATTGCTCTGAAGTAGGCTTCAATTCTGTCTTAGTGATTTCTTTCTGCACCCTTTGGGTTGGTAAAGTATCTTTCGGTGGAATGGGTTTTGGATCTTCTTTTGCTCTCTTTGGAATAGCTTTTACCACCGGCTCTGGTTCAGAAGGCTTTGGTGTCTCCAATATCACTAATGGCTTCTCATCAGGGTTCCTGATTCGCCCATCCCTACTCAATTGCCGCCGGTCAAGAGATTGCAAAATTCTCTTCTCATAATCATCCCTAAAGGACTTGTTATGGCACCAGAGGGACATAAATTTTTCAACCTAAAAGTGGATATTAAAGCAAAATATTAGATTGTAGCAGTAAAAATAAAACCTCCATGTACCTAACACAGGATAGTATTCATCTAACAAACCTCATCGAGTGCAAGTTCTTCAAGAGCCTTAACATCTTTCTTAGCAGCAAGTTCTTTGGCTTTCGTCAAGAGCATACGGCTTTGGTAAAAGTTGGCATTCTAACAAAGCAACAACAGATAAAGGTATCACCAAAAAACATTACACACAGACTATATCCAATTGTACTAGAAAAGGCTAGAAAAATGATTGAGCAGCCATTCTACAGCCAATAATCAGGGAAAAAAAAATGCCAAATTCAATTCTGTTGGAAGGGAAGGAGAAGGGATTCGATATGGCTTTGAGCTTTTTCAAAACAACTCACTTCAAGACAGATTCTAAAGAAGTTTGTCAGAAATACAGTCCTCCAGGAAGGTACTACAAGGCATGCACGAGGGAATAATTTGCACTTCAAAAACAGCTCACGATGCACAGGTAAAACAAAAGACTACTAAATCAGTTTAGATTTGAAGTCCTTGTCCAACAAAGGCTACCATGCAACCAATAATCACACTAAAATTACAGCGTTAGAAAATGCTTCTCAAGGTAGACTCCAGCTGCTGCTCTGAAATAACATACTTTTGGACCTCAACATTTCCAGTAAATATCAGAGCCAATGTGCAAGCAAGCATGTGGAAGTATGCTTGATCTGTATTTTGCCTTCTCAGACAACAGATTACTGGCAAAACTAACTCAAAGTAGTAGATGGTAATCGAACCTGTTGAGGGTAAAAAATAAAGACTGAACCTATAAATAGTTCTGTTGTTCTATATTTTCTAAAAGGGATCTAATATACTTGAGATTAACATTCCCCAACATTTCAACAACATCATAAGGGACGAAGTTACCAAATTTGGATCCAAATACAAAACTGTGACATCCCCCAGTAATGTTGATGCATTCTATGACACATGCCAACAGACAAAGGAGCTAAAACCTAAAACAATGAGAATCCCCACAACCCAATAAAATATTTTTAAAATGTTAGTAATGAACAACACAAAAGGAAGATCATATAAAAGGCATCACAACGTGGTTAGGAATATCAATACTTTAGTGAAACTGATCCTTTCTATGTAAACATTGCACATGCCTACATGCTCACACAGTTAGCTCCCTTTTTTTAATAATTCTTGGAGTCAATAAACATACCGCCTCATCACGCTGTTTCCTAAGTTCCTGAAGAGTTTCATATGTTGTTGCCCTCTTCTGGATCACAGCTTCCAGCTCATCCTGTAAAGTTTTAATTTCAGCGTCCAATGCCTGCACTTTCGCTTCAAGTCCATCGAGTTTTTCCCAAAGTGCTTGTCTCTCCTTCCTTACTCCATCCAAGTCAACACCCATAAGCTACAATAACCAAAGTAGAGTAAATTACTCTTGCATACATGCTGATAACAAACATTCAGACACAGAAAGTAAAGTTGTTGAAACTACAGACTTCCAACACATGATAGTTCAAAACCAATTATCTTACTTTGACCTGATCTTGAATGGCTTCTTTCTGACCCAATGAATCCTGAATCTTTGTTCTCATAGCAGCATTAGCAATTACTTTTTCCCTTGTCCCTTCAAGCTGTTTGATTTCTCTAAGTATTTGCTTTTCCTCTGTCAATGGGATGCTCTCGTGTTGCATGCGGTATTGCAAGCTGTAGATCTGAAACCACAATAACAATCCGCAAACTTAAGAAATGCAGTATCACAATACAATTGCACCAAAACAAACTGGCAAGTCCCTACATGCATGCAAACCTAGCAGCTAAATACATACAAGATCATTAAGCTCTTCCTCAGATGAACATATGCCAACACGACCAGCATTATTTGTGTTACGCAGCTTGCCCAGTGCCTGCTGCAAAGGCTCCATTTCCTTTTTTTTCTCATCGAAGATCGATTTATACTGCCTACCCTCATTCTTCAGAGCTCTCACCTGGTTGATCAACTCCGCTCGTTTTGACTGCAGAAGAACAAGGGACAAATAAGTAGAATCTCATAGGAACTAGATTGGTGCAATCTTTCAACAAACATGGTAATTTGAAATGCACAAAGCATAAGAACATATGATCAATATGAAAGCTGACATATAAATATTGTCAGCTTTAGGGACCCTTACATTTAGTAATTAAATCTTTTGGAAACTAATAGTCTTCTCACAGAGTTCCCAAGTCCAGAACTATTTTGTAATTACTAGCGGAAAACTTGCGTAAAGGTTTAACTGCCATTGAACAGGCAGGCAGATGTAAAAGTAAGACTTCTTTGTCATGAACATTATTGCAATGTTTCACAAACATCAATAACAAAATTCAAGTATTTGCAATGCACCTGCACCAAAGGAATTTGCAATGCACATTAATCAGGAACTTGCCTTTTAATAGACTGGACTGACAAAAAACCAGGTACATCCATATCAAATGGTTTGAAAATGAAACACTCATCAGCTCGATCAGTAGTATTGAGATCCTAAAGACACATTTCTAAACATCATCACTTCAAAGGATGAAAAAAAGTAAAAATCTAGACAACTCATGAGAGAAATGAGCTCTCCTCTCTTTAAAAAGACACATAAATAGATCTGTTAAGTTCATTTAAAAGGGGCCACGAGACAGAATACAAAAAGAAGAAAGGAGGTTGTTTACTTGGGAATGTCGCACGTAAAACTAAATATCTAAACAGTGGAACTTTTATTTTGCCTTAAAGTTCCTGCTTTTTGTACAGAATACTCTCTTCAAAATCAAGTTATTTCCGTAATCAAATGTTGGCTATGAAAAGGAAATGCTGCACAGATCTTTCATCCTATGTCTTCCACATTCACTTTCAAACAAAGGAAAGGAAGAGCTACCCTCAACAAACACATGTTCAGGTTTTTACCGGTTCCACAATAAAAGATTGATCATATTTGTCTAGTGCTCATAAAGTAACATGCAATTTCTTCCCCTTTTAAAAAATTCCAGTTGGATTATTTTAATAAACCTGTTGACCAAAATGAACGTGATGAAAATGAACAAAAATTCACTACATTATTTATATGTGCTGCAATGGGATGGTTCTGGACAAATCATGATAATTCACAATCTTATAAACCCATAACTTTCTAGTAATTGAAAGTTCTATAGACCACCTATACATGGCAAATAGCATATCTAGCAAAAACAATAAGCTTCCAGCTTACCCTTCTATCTTTTAATTCTTCTGTAATCTGAAACCGTGATTGATTTCTTTTCTGAATCTCCTTATCAGCCTGATCAATTTTGGCCTTAATCTTTGGATCATCATATAGTCGGTATGTTACAAAATAGAAGGAATGGACCTGCTTGGGAGCAGGCCACTCATCAACTGCATCCTTTGGCAAGTTGTCATCTGTAACATCATTTCCTTCTGCCTTAACCGGCTCTTCACCGTGTGAACCGAATTGTATGGGCTCCGTAAGCCCTGATACCTTATCCAGTTTCCTATTTTCCTTCTGGTGCAGAACAGATTTATCTACTTCACTTACACCGTCAACGGGGGCAGAAACCTTCTCAGGTGCCACAACCTCAACGCCCATTGCTCTTGACAAAGATGAACCTTACAAAAACGAACAATCCTGATGCACAAACAACCACATGACATGAGAATAAAGAATCAAGAAAACCAACTTTACAATAAGATCTAGTGATCAAGAAAGCCCAAATCCATCTATTTTGATAAAAAAAAAAAGATCAAGATTAAGTAAACATATGAATCGTATCGAAATTGTCATTGAAGTAACAACAAAAGCAAGCCAGGATAGAATCGCCACTTACATACAACACAGAATCCATAACACCACAACAATCAAAGAACACTTGAAGGAAATAAAGGTATCAAAACCACACAGTTTTGTACATGCAAATGAAGAAACAAGCAAATCCGATAGAAAAAATCATCATAAAAAATACCACATCAAATCATAAAAAAAAAACTCAAATATCAAATCTCTTACGACTTCCACACACCAATCATGCAATAAAGAAATCCCAACAGAAGCAATAAAAGAAAGAAAAGCAAGTACACAACAACCCCTTCAATGATCAAGATCAATACACATCAAAACACACAAAAAGAAAAGAATTGTGGGACTCTACATGATAACAGAAAAGAAAGAGAGTGATTACCAGAAGTAGAAGCAGAAAGAGAAGACCCTTTTTTTGACAAGCGAAGGCCCTCAAGTTCCGAATTATAACTAACCCAATTGGGGGACTCAGATCTCAAAGTCTCTCTCTAATTCAAGCAAAGCGTCACTTCTCTTTCTAAAATGTAAGGCTAGAGAGAGACTAGGAGCCCAAAGGGGTAGTGCTATTTATATATTGCTATTTTTATTTATTTATTTATATATTTATTTAGTAGCAGAGAGGAAGATGGGATTACAAATCACTCTTTCAAGTTTTTACAAATTGTTTTTGCCAGGGAACTTTCTTAATTTCCCATTAATAATATTAATATATCTCCTCTCTTCTTCTTTTTCATTTTAAGGAGTGATTTGTTTTTTTATTTATCCATTTTTGTTCTAAAATTAGCATAATCTTCTTTCTCTGGGGGGATAGTGTTAGATGTAGATTATGTGGACATAATATCTTGAGACAACGTTTTTTTCTTATTCTTTTCGTTTTTTTAATAATAATAATATCAAAAAAATATTTAATGATGGATTAAATAAAAAATAATTGTCACATTTTCTCTTGAGTTTATCTAATAAAAAATGATATAATCCAGTCATTTAATTAAGCGAAGCATGATTTTAATATTTAAAGCAACTGTATTGGGACCGTGATTTTTATATTTAAGTTTTCCAATATACTGTATTAATATATTTCAGCGATAATAATTTGTTTTTGGATTGGATATTAAACATTAAAAAACACTATAAAAAAAACAAGTATTGGGTGTTTCATCTGTTGTAACCCCTCATTCGATTGCACTACCCCTCATTTAATTTTTTTCATCCACGTTATTTTATTTTATTTTATGTTCAATTTGAGCCTTCTATATTGGTTTTACTCAATAATGGCCTTGATAGTTTGTTATGATAAGCTTGATATGGGTTTCTCACGGAATTAGAAAAATCTCATCATCAAGTTGGTGCTTGATTTTGAAGAAATTGTTTGGATTTTTTATTTTTCAAATTAAAGCTTGAAAATAAAGGAATTATAATTAAAACTTAAGAAAAAATTACATCCTTTTCTGTCCTTAAAAGAAAGAAAAAAGAGAAAATAGACGCTAAAACAAGAAGATGAGAGAGGAAAAAACAAATAGAAAAGCATTAATGTTTTAAAATCTGAAATGTTTAAGGAACAAATTATTTAGTGTTTAAATAATGATTAATAAAAAATGCTGAAGTATAAATACCAAATTAATAGTAAAAATCTTAGCACCTGCAAAAAAATCTTAATTGATGGGACTTAAAGACCCTTTAATGATAAAATTAGTAATTTTTATAGGAAAACTAATAAATAAAAGAAAAGTTTCTTAAATTACAGGAAGAAAAAAGTTTGTTCTTATTTTTTAAGGTGATTAATGTTTTTCAATATATGTATGCTTTTATAGTAGAAAAAAGCTATGAACTTTTTATTTAAGTGATTTAAGAGGTCTTTATAACCCTTGTCATCTTCAAGTAAAGAAAGGACTAGAAAGTCCTTTGCACTTGATAATATTAATAAAGAATAAATATCTATTATATATCATTAATGAGATGATAAGTATGATAAGACTCATAAAAAACATTTTATACATCTATAGATATAGATAGATCATTACCTTTAACATGAATAATTTATATAATTAATTTAAAAATAGAGGTTTTATAGTTCTGGATTTCTAAGATCAATTGAAGCTGATATGTGGCCAAACTTAAATGATAATGGCATGGATGTTCATCAAATTCATAGCACGTAGGGTTAAGTTAATGTTCCAATCTAAATGTATTGTATCTAGCATCTTGCCAAACCTACGTTACTTTGGGTTCATTTAACAACTAAACTCAAAATCATTTGACAGCTAAACCCAAGTGTATTGGGTTTAGCAATTTACCAAACCTTTGTTATATTAGATCCAACTAACGGTGGAACTCAAGTGTATTAAGCCTAACAACTTGTCAAACTCACATTATATTAAGTCTAATTTGTCAAACTTACGTTACATTTGATTAGCTAATGGCTAAACTTGAGTGTATTGGGTTTGTGAAGTTGTCATGTTCGCATTACATTGGGTAAAGTTGACGACTAAATCTAAGTGTATTGGGTCTGACAAAAACTAAATTTACATTGCTTGGGTTTTAGTTGATAGTTAAACCCAAGTATATTAGGTATTAGAGATTGTCAAACTCATGTTGTCTTGAGATCTTTTAAACCACTAAAATATTGAGTTGAAAATACTGACTCGTCTTAAAAAAAAAAAAAACAATAGGACATCAAAGCCACATCAAAGTAACATCTCTACCATACAACACCAAAAAAAACTATAATATGAGATTGTACGAAGCAGCACACGCCTTCCTAATATGGCATCTTCCCTCACAAGTTAACAGTTGTCTTGCATGCATCAAATAATTTTTTTTCTCTTCATTTAATTTAGTTTTAAATTTTATCCCACTAAAATACATATATATATTTTTTATAAATTTCATGTAATTTTACTTGAATAGATTTATATTTATCTGTATTAAAAAAATAAAATTTTCTTAGACTTTTAGAAATTAGTAACAACTTTCATTGTTTTTTAAAAAATAATAAAAATAAAATACTAAACTTTTACTTATAGTATCTTCAACATAAACATAAATGTTACATGTTAATTATTATAAAATTATAATTTAAATGAATATATGATCCTTTAGAGTCTCACTAGTTTTTTATCACATGTTTCACAACAAGTAATGTTTATTAGTGGGTGGTAACTAGTGAGTGTTTTTCATTAAATAATAGCATTGTTCATAATAATAAATTTAGAAAACACCAAAATTATAATTGAGTTAATAGGTTTTGTACCCTATATTTTTGTAAAATTTATATTTTATTATACAGGTGATAAAAAAAATTATACATTTAGTTTTATAATATTTCAAATTAAATGAGTAATGAGCAGTATAGAAACCATTAAATACTGCTCTCACTTTCCCAAACCTTAAACTTTTAGGAAATAACCAATTTTATAATACTTCAAACTCTATTATATCTTTGAGTTTTGTTAAACTTTTTATAAGTCATGTAGCTTTTTTATTTAAGCTTTTGGTATATAGAATAATAAGAATCTATAATATCATTCCTGTACCTTTTTTAACCTTTTTTTTCTTTTAAATTCTAGTTAAAAAATGCTTGAAGTATTAAATAATTGCAACAACTTAATAAGTAAATAAACCCTAAAATCTATGAATTTAGTTATAATATGGTGAATGTTTTGCTTATGAAAGTAGGATAAACATTTATATGCCAAAAAATCATATATCATATATATATAAATGTAAAGTGGACATGACCACCATCATCTTTAAATATATGTTGGGAAAAGAAAAGTTAAGAAAAATAATCAATTTAAAAAAAAAAACCAGAGTAAAAAAAAAATGAAGCACCATTAGCAACATCATATCTTTTAGTGTTTTTAGATAATTGATGATGTAAAAATTTATTAATATAAAAACGTGCAAGATTGTGATTAAAAATGCTTCAACTTTTTTTTTCCTTTTTTTAGGGAAAAAAAGAAGAATAAATAAGTTATTTAGGTAGCTATAATATAGTTGTTTTACTATTAAAAATAAGTTTCAAACTTGTATTTATTAAAAGAAAGAGAAAATACAAAATAGAGTTGAGCTAAAAGCTCTTTGACGGAAGCTTTTTAACAAGATACGAAATTGATAGCTTCTTTTTCTTCTTTATTTCTCTTGTTAAGAAAGTTTATAATGCTTGGATATGATAGTATGACTTTTACATTAATTATAAATAAATTAAATTATTTAAGAATAGAAAAAATAAGATATTATTACACATTAGATTATGAGCAATTCGTGTTTAATATTCTTGTTACTTAAAAAGCTTTCACTAATTTATTTTTTTATTTTCTTTATTGACTATGATACAAAAAGACAATTTAAAATATAACCTGTCAATAGTACAATTCAGCCTGGACGTATCCATTTCCTGTGCGAACACGCGTGCCTCCGTGGACTTTTCTTATCGTATAGGTCGATAATTCCGAGAGCTGCTTCTGAGATATAGATGAGCCTTTGAAAGTACATCGGTACCCCTATCACTCAGGACAAATTACTTAACTGATTTCAACACTTTCTGCACGTGCAAGGCCACACACATGCACAAGGAAGGGATCTCTATGCTTGGGCACGGATAGATTTTTTTATGGAGTTTCCATCCCTTGGCTGTTCTTGGCTGAGATTTGAACAAAAAGATTGAGTGCATGAGACAAATGGAATTCTTTTTTGTTGAATTTAAATATTTGAATGTTCTAATTATTTTTATTTTTAATTTAATAAGTTTAATTTTTTAAATTTAATAAGATATTTGAGAGTGTGGTCTAACTATATATTTTTTTAAAATTAAATATTTGTTATTCTAAATTATTTTTTTTATATTTTTTTATCATTTTAATATTTTGATATTAAAAATAAATTTTAAAAATAATATTTTAATATATTTTAAAATAAAAAATAATTTTTATCACTACCTTAAAATCATTCAAAAAAAATTACTCTTTTTCATCAAATAAAAAACCAAGTAAAGAGAGTTTTTTTTTTAATTATTTAGTTTACCCTTTTTTACATCTTGTAGAAGTTTCTTGGACCCGGGCTAGCAGGCCCAGGTCCACGTATGTGGTAAGCAACGCGGCTACCTTCCACGCTTTCTTTCCCGTTGAACGGAGCTTTGTTTGGGTAAAGCGAAAAAGTAGTTGAATGAAGTAGTTGAATCTTAAAGGCACAACATTTACTGCTTTAAGGGGCGCTCATCCTTTTTTTTTTTAATTATTATGAAAAATGTAATGAGAATATTTATTACATTCTCTTGTTTGATTGCAAATTTTTAATAATATAATGGATGTATTGACTAAGTTTATTTTAGTCTTTGTCAAAATCCATTGAAGAAGTTTTGGATTGATTAGGGTTAAATTAAACTAATTTATTTAACATGTGATCTATATAATAAAATTATTTTTTAAAATTTATAAAAATATATATTTATAAGAAATATAATAAATAATTTATTGAGGAGAGATGTTTTTTATATATATATAATTTTTTTTCTCTTGTTGATGCTATTATTGTATATTTTTATATATATTGAGTTAATACATAATTATATATA